TAAGAGGCTTTCTAGAGAATGAACAAAGAATCTACACAGGATCTGAATCAGTTTGGCAGAAATTAAAAGATTACAAGATTTTTATTTAAATGGAATAATTGGATACTTTGGAAATGGGATGTTAGTGAACCTGTTGATAGCTGCAACACTTGTCTGTTTCCCTACTGCCTTTTCAGGAAACGACGTTATTTTTCCCTTACAGTCTCTCCTTCAATTATTTATAATTACATGCTCTCACTAGGACCTAACTTGCAACCACTGTAATCCTGTTGTCATTAAATCAATTTATTATTTGAGACTTTGTTCATGAGAATTTACTTAGCTAATTCTGTGACACAAGAAAAACCGGTAGTTACTGATTAACACTAATAAGAATTAAAGTGAACCTTCACATGTTGAGTCTGAGCTTGTAAATCAATAGGGCAGAAGACTTGACACTACTCACATCAAAATACATGCGGATAGCTGATTTCCTTTCAACTTGTAATAAATAGTAGAGACTTAGTTTAACATAGAAACGGTGCTCAAAAGAATCATTTTACTTGGAAAACGAAAGCATTTCTGCTGTTCTCCAAGTGAGTGCCCACAAGTAGTTTGGAAACGTGGGATTGAGCCTTTAAGAATTAAATAATCATGTGGTTGGTTGAAGTTTTTTAAACATTTTTATTACTGATTCTGAAATGTGTATTCATGTAGAAAGTTGGTGGGTTTGGGGTTGGCTGGTTGTTTTTCAAAAATACTTACTTGGGCTTCTTTTCTAAATTTATTTCAGCTGGACAGCTTAGCCAGTCAGCACATTTTGCTCTCCAGTTGCCATACAATGTGCTAGGTTTGGGACGTAGTGCTAATTTCCTCGACCATTTGTACGTTGGCATTCCTCGTCCTTTAGGAGAAAAGGTTAGTCGAGATTTAAGATTCTCAAGCCAATATTTATGGTGTTACCTTTCCTAATAGAGTTTGGATGGAAATACTGCTAGGGACACACACACCCCCCGAAGCAAGAATATCAAAGCAGTAAGTTTGAATACAGAAAAGTTCACCAAAAAGAATCTTGCATGCCTGGTTTTGGGAGGGGTGTATAAGCTCCAAAGCTACCACTAAGACCAAAAGATGACTGAAGCTGTCTGTATGTGTTAGCAGAGGCATGTAGTGCTTGTTTATATGGTAAACGTGTATTAGATCTGAGGGTTCAATTACTATGGTCTCAGCTGTAAGACTTCCTGGGCTTGGTCTGGCTGGCCCGTAAACTCACATAATCCTTTCTGCCTCACTGATAAAACCATGATCACTGTGATGGGAGGTGGAGATTACCGTGATTATCTAATCTTCAGATGAAACATAAAAGTAGGGTCCTGACCATTTTCAGTCTTTAAAGATCTGATGGTACTACTTTAAAAAGTGAGGTATTAGAATTAGCGTACTGGCCAAATTCTGATTTGGGTAATTGCTTTGCCTGCCTCCTCTGTAGAATTGGTTCTTTTCTTCTTTCCCTGTTATGTTGTTGCTTTGTACTTTTTAAGCAGATGCTGTGTTTCATGTCAGCAATAGTTATTTTGCTTTTTACTTTCTTGTTGTTTTTTTAAAAGCACTTCAGAGCTTTTAGAATAAAAGGTTTATACAAACATAAGGGACTAATCACATTTAAAATAAAAAAAGAGTGACTGGGTTTTTTTTGTTTCTCCTTTAATATGTTTCATCCGAGAATTTTCTTTGCTTTTAAGTGTGTTGGTTGGTTAGGAATTGACATAGCCTTTGTTTTTCTTTCAGTCCACAAGAAAACAAGAATGGACAGCTATCATACCAAACTCCCAGCTTATAGTCATCCCCTTTCCTCATAATGTTCCTCGAAGGTAACTTCATCGTTTTGATTTGCACTCCACAAAGTTACATTAATACAGAGTTTAAATTAGGCGTTATGTGTGTAAAAATAGTCACTTGTATTGAAAGTAAATTTAAGAACCATCGGGGCTGGGGGGTCGGTTCTGTACATGTAGTTGCCTCTGTGAATTGGCAGAATAGTTCTCAGGTGTTTACACAGACTCGTAGATAGTGCCCATAAACAATCAAAATCTATTACCAGCTCATACAAACAATCCAAATGTATTACCAGCTCAACTCCTGTAAATAATGGCATATATGCTAGATTTACCAACATTCTTTTTGACAAATTGCAAGCATGGTAATGATTGAAACAAGCATTTTGTTTCACTAAACATGCAATTTCTGTCTAGTTGCATATAAAAGCTTCCGTTCAGCCCTTCTGAATGCAGTATCTGTTGCCATAGGTATGGATGTTTAAGGTGAATGGGTTGGTTACACAAGAGCTTGAACACTGAATTCACTTTGCAATTAAAATGTTTATCCCAGAAAGAGAGCATGTTTCTCTCTTTGCTATTAGAGAAATCACTAGCCGTGTATTCC